GACCTGTTTCTTCTTCTCCAGCTCGGTCCTCCCTGTACCTGACCTCTCAGCAGAAAGGACACACAGAGGAAGAAGGGCTGGTTGATGAGCTCCTGACAGGCTGGTTACAGGTGAATCAAATATTCCTTTGTCCACGTTATTACTCCTTTGACCAGAAGTTGGACAGTGAATTTTCAGTGGCCTGGAGCCTCACAGCCAAAGCATGTCCTCAGGCATCCCAGGATCTCTGGGCATCTGATAGAGGGTGAACGCTGCCTGGAAAATAGTCAATGAATGTCAATGTTTACTGCATGTTTAAAGCGCCCTCCAGGGTCACCATGTACATCATGTCCTCTTGGGTATAATGGGAAGCCAAGTAAAGACATGGCTGTGTCATAACTCAAGCAATTAATGATGGCCATGGGGAAATCATTCATCATTTACCAAGTATTCATGTGATTTCCACAATGTCCCAGGCCTGTGTGCTCAACTTTGCAGATGAAGAGAAATAAGACTGCAGGAGCTGCAGTCTGATGGAAAGAGAAAATCAGTGTGTGTTAGGGTGCATTGGACTGTAGGAGTAGCCCTGAGTAGGCTGGAGATGGAAGTTGAAAGCTGAGCCCAGAAGCCAGTGAGAAAAGCACTCGGAACACTGCCCACACGTCCTGTACTCTGGGCTCCCTGTCCCTCATCTGTCATCCTTGACTCTTTTCCTGTTCGTGTTGGTGGGGGCGATCCTTGGCTAAGCTGAGATGTTTGCGATGTTTTAGGACCTGGTGACCTTTGAGGATGTGGCTGTGGAGTTCACCCAGGAGGAGTGGGCATTGTTGGACCCTTCTCAGAGAACACTGTACAGGGACGTGATGCTGGAGAACTGCAGAAACCTGGCCTCACTTGGTAAGCCTGATGTCACTCCTGCATCTGTTTAATGACTCAGTAACAAGACTTTCCTTTGCTTCTCATTATTTTATCGAGGTAAAATTCACAATTTTAACCATTTTAAAATGTGTAATTCGGTGGCTTTTAGTATGTTCAGAGTGTTGTGCAACCATCAAAACTATCTAATTTCAGAATATTTTTATCACCCCTAAAAGAAACCACATCCCCATAAAGCAGTTGATACTTATTACGTTTCCCACCTGCTGCCACTCATGAGCACTAATCTTCCTTCTGTCTGTATGAGTTTGCCCATTCAGAACATTTTACATGAACGGAATCATAAAATATGTGACCTTTTGTATCTGACTTCTTTCATGTAGCATAATGTTTTAGAAGTTTAGCTATATTGTAGCATGTATCAGTGTTTCATTCCTTTTTATAACCAGTAATATTGCATTGTATGAAACATACCAGATTCTGTTTATCCAGTGGTTGATAAATATTTGGATTTTTTCTAATTTCTGGCTATCTTGAATAACACTGATATTAATATTTGTGTACAAGATTTTTTTAAACACCTGACTTTAGTTCTGTTGTGTGTATACCAAGGAGTGTAATACTACGTGGTATATTTCTGTGTTTAGCTTTCTTAGAACTGGCAAACTTTTTTCCACAACAGCTGCACCATTTTACATTCCCACCAATGCATGAGGATTCCAGTTTTCTCCACATCTTCACTACAATCTTTGATTATAGCCATTTTAGAGGCTGTGAAGTGGTATCTCGTTCTTTTGATTTGCATTTCTCTAATGACTAATAACAATGAGCATCCTTCTTTTTTTTCTTTTTTTAGTTAAAGATCTCAATTGGCTTTATTGTCATCCTAGAATCAGGCAACATGTCATTCCAAAAAATAGAATAAGTGTTCTGAGGGTCTTTTTTATGTACTTTTTGGGTACTTGCATATCTTCTTTGGAGAAACAGCTATTCAAGTCCATTGCCCATTTTTCAGTTGGATTGTTTTTCTTTTTGCCGTTGGGTTGTAAAAGTTTGTTATATATTCTGGATACTAGATCCTTATATGAAATACAAATAATTTCTCCCTTCTTTGGGTATCTGTTTTTTCATTTTCTTGATTGTGTCCTTTGATGCACAAAAGTTTTCATTTTGATGTAGCCCAATTTACCAACATTTTCTTTTGGGGGGGGCTTGTGTTTTGGGTATCATACGTAAGATACCTAGGAAACCGTTGCCAAAGCCAAGGTTATGAAGATTTCCCCTATGTTTTCTTCCAAGAATTTTCTAGCTTTGGCTCTTACATTTAGGTA